CTATTTACCGACCAAATATTTCTGTCGCCAAGTTCGTCGCCCATACCCCGTCAGCGATAGTATTGGCGACTAAACTTCATTTGGTCACCAAAAAATGAAACATTTCCCTACTAAATTTCTTTTAGTAGGCAAATGGTATCTTTTCGCCACTAAAACCGTTGGTCACCGAAAGTGAACATTTAGCTACTAATCCTTCGTTAGTCGGCAAACATGACCTTTTTGCTACTAAATTTTTAGTCACTAAAAGTTCTACCTTAGGCGTGGTGACTTTTGCCGACTAAAACTGTTCGTAGCCAAAAACCTATTAAGATTCATTTCTTTACTTTTTGCTACCAAAAGTTTTAGTCGCCAAATGATACCCTTTTTTTCGGGACTAAAAAATGTAGTGGCCAATAGTTTCTCTTTTTTAAATTTTTTAGCTACTAATTATTTGGTGGCAAAAACGTTTTGGGTTATGTTTTTGCTACTAAATTATTAGTGGCCAAAACTTTTGATTACCTATTTGGCTACCAAAACATTTGGTGGCCAAATAATTTTTTGTTTTTTTTTTATTCATTTATATTACAACCTGTACCCTGTATAAACAATATAATCCATCAACACTAAAATATATTATCAATCATTAAAGCATTCAACAACGTGCACATATTTCAGTTCCAAGCATCCAAAAAATTAATCTTGAACGTCCAATTCTATATATAATACAAATTCCATACACTCCAAGTCTAATCCAACATCAATAATTTAAATCCATACATAATACATGAATAACCAAATTAATTTGTTTGAACCACTATATATACGGATAGAGGTATAAAAACAATGCCCTCCCGTAATTGTCAAAAAATTATATATCCACATTTGTATGTCCAAAATCATCTGCAAAAAAAAAATAAAATTCATTAGTTTGGTGCCTATAAAATGTTAAGAAGGCTTAAAAGCTTTCCCTGTTAATGACATAGATATTCTTACATATAACACTTCCATGTTGAGATATCAATTCCACAAATTAACTCTACATTTTAGTTAAAATAAGGAGAGAGAAACAATTTATAAAATTAAATGTCTTAGAGAAACAATAGAAAAATAATGATATTCACACAACACTTTTAGCCTCACACTCCACTTGCGAGAAAATATCGTCAAGTCAAAACATGAGGGACATTAACAGGTAAGCATTTAAAATATTTACATCTTATTGAATAGTTAATGATTGTGTTATGATTAACAATTCACACATACATGTCACAAAATTTATATATATAGAAAAGAAAAAAGAAATGCAAATATGTATGGACTGAATTCCAGTTGATTTGAAGACCCGATCAAATGAGAAGCCATGGCTTCATGTCATTCTAGTGAAAATTTTAATTTTATTAAATGTGTGCACCGTGCACAAAATTATATATGTATGTATGCATGAATCAATAACACAACTTGTTCAGAGCAAGTCAAAAGGGTATTCAAGAAGGTAGTATTACTTGTTTGGGTTCTCCATTTTTGCCACCAATGCTAGTGAAAATAATGTGACCAGTGACTGTATCATTTGAGTCGACAACTGGGGCAGAGATCTCCTGCAAGACATATCAGATCAAGATGTCACACAAACAATTCACAGATCATTTACCTATCATCAATCTAGGCTTCCCTGACCCAACAGTTCCATCTTTCATTCATTTTGATCAAGCGCATGTGCATGCTCCATGCTTATTGCACATATGGCACACTCTAGACTAATTTCATGAATAGACTAATTTCCCCTTAATACTCTTGTCTGTATCTTTTTCAACCTGTAATATTAAATCCACACATACATCTGATAATAAGTATCTAAAAGTGCAAAAGTATTAAGAAGTTAGTCAAATAGTGTATAACTACTAAATGAAATAAACTTGAGCATCTAGAGCGTGTTGTGTGAGATGTTCACAAGCAATTTGACGTTCTTGAAGTTCCACCCGTAGCTCTGCATTGCCTTTCACATTTCCAGTTTTAACTTGTAACCAACCAATTGTCACTAAATTAGTTCCTATGAACATAATTAAGGGAAGACAAGAAGATAAACTATCACATAGTAGCACACAGCTGCAATGGCATATTTAGGCAGCATGATGATTATGTTAACAAGCATGCTGAAAATTAAAAAATTAAACAAGATAGTAAAATACACAAAATTCTTTCCAACTCCCTGCTGTGTCCTATCTCCATGAATAGAGATTGCTGCAAAATTTAATGACATTCAAAACTCAAAACATGGACTCCATTCCACAGGTAAATCCAAATTGAATGATACATAAAGCACTTCGCATATTTCCTTGCCATGAATGCCGTTAGTCATTTGAGCATTAAGACTCTATTTACATTATCAATTATAACTCATTTCTCAATGATTAATTCAACAATTATGTTGATAGAATATATATAAAACCATCTAAATAATAGAATTCTGATTTCTATTCAAATGTGAGGCACAATTCTTACTTGCCAAACTTCAATGCCTACATATTTTATTGGCTTCAACACATAAAGGTGAGGATCATTCTCGGGGCATGCATGATAACCCAAAACACCTCAAGTATTTCCCAATCAGCGGAAGCATAGAATTGAAGAAGTCTACTACTCTAGGCCGGCTAACAATTTTCAAGTGCTTATTGTTAAATATAATAATACGTAAGAAGTAAGTTTTCCACCACTTTTTTATGGTTGGAGTGTAGATTAGACCCTCAAGTATTAATTTTTTATTTTACATTTGCCGACTAAAGGTTTTAAATTTTCGCCCCCGAAACGGCATTTTTCGACTAAGTTTTGGACGTTTTCAGCTCTAACTCCCAACTTACAGGTCCTAATAAAATTCCGTGAGTTGTCACAGGTCCTATTAGTCATGGGGATGCTGTCCGTGAGGGGCACACGGAGGTTCGGGGGCTGTTTTCAATTTTCACCCCCGAAATAGCATTTTTCGATTAAGTTTTGGACCTTTTCAGCTCTAACTCCCAACCTACAGGTCCTAATAAAATTCCGTGAATTGTCACAAGTCCTATTAGTCATGGAGATGCTGTCCATGAGGGGCACACGGAGGTTCGAGGGCTGTTTTCAATTTTTGCCCCCGAAACGGCATTTTTCGACTAAGTTTTGAGCGTTTTCAGCTCTAACTCCCAACCTACAGGTCCTAATAAAATTCTGTGAGTTGCCACAAATCCTATTAGTCATGGGGATGCTATCCGTGAGGGGCACACGGAGGTTCAGGGGCTGTTTTCAATTTTCGCCCCCGAAACGGCATTTTTGGACTAAGTTTTGGGCGTTTTCGGCTCTAACTCCCAACCTACAAGTCCTAATAAAATTCTGTGAGTTGTCACAAGTCCTATTAGTCATGGGGATGCTATCCGGGAGGGGCACACGGAGGTTCGGGGGCTGTTTTCAATTTTCGCCCCCGAAACGCTCTTTTTCGACTAAGTTTTGGGCATTTTTGACTCTAACTCCCAATGTACAGGTCCTAATAAAATTCCGTGAGTTGTCACAAGTCCTATTAGTCATGGGGATGCTGTCTATGAGGGGCACAGAGAGGTTCGGGGGCTGTTTTCAATTTTTGCCCCGGAAACGGCATTTTTGGACTAAGTTTTGGGCTTTTTCGGCTCTAACTCCCAACCTACAGGTCCTAATAAAATTTCGTGAGTTGTCACAAGTCCTATTAGTCATGGGGATGCTGTCCGAGAGGGGCACATGGAGGTTTGGGGGTTGTTTTCAATTTTCGCCCTCGAAACGCTCTTTTTCAACTCAATTTTGGGCGTTTTCGGCTCAAACTCCCAACGTACAGGTCCTAATAAAATTCCGTGAGTTGTCACAAGTCCTAGTAGTCATGGGGATGCTGTCCGTGAGGGGCACACGGAGGTTCGGGGGCTGTTTTCAATTTTCGCCCCCGAAATGCTCTTTTTCGACTAAGTTTTGGGCATTTCTGACTCTAACTCCCAATGTACAGGTCCTAATAAAATTCTGTGAGTTGTCACAAGTCCTATTAGTCATGGGGATGCTGTCCATGAAGGGCACACGGAGGTTTGGGGGCTGTTTTTAATTCTTGGAAGATTACATGAGAATATGTTTCCTCCTAAACACATGAACGGGCCAATAAAGGATTTTAAAATAAAAAATGTGATAAAAAGAAAGAGGAATTAGAAGAGAGCCTATACCTCAAGCAGATGATAACTAGAGAAAATGAATCATATGCAATGATAACTAGAGAAAAAAGAAAATTACTAAAACTTACTTTCTGATCACTCAAGGAAGAGTTACTAGATAAGGGTATAGAACCAATATTTTATATGACAATAGAGCAATAAAACCAAAATGCAAGAGAAACCCTGAAATAAAAGAAATGTGATCAGCTCAGCACTAAAGAGTCAAAGATCTTAAATTCAACATATCAATTTAGCAAGAACAAAGACGAATTTTGGGCAATGATTAAATCGGATTTAAAAGAATATTGCATAGGCCAAGGAAAACAAAATAAGTCAATTTTCTGTTTTAAGTATGAGATATAAACTTAATACAGAACTGACACTGAAGGATGTCCAAGCATCTAATAATGAATAAACCTTCATTTTTAATTCTTGGAAGATTACATTAATCTCAATCTTACTATAATTACATGTCTATATCATAATAAACCATAAGAAGCAAACAGGAGGGAATTGTAGAATTAAAATATATACCAAGGCTTAGAATTCTTGAAACATAATGACAGAAGTTGTATTAACTCTGAGTTGCAACTATTCAATTCATTGTACTTGCTTGAACAACAAACATATATATACATTGCATAAAACTGCATAATAAGCCCACTAGCATACAGAATTGTCCAAAGACATAGACATTTAAAATCAACATCTACTGCAGGAATATGCATGTAAAGCATATATGTAGCTTACTAAGAGCCAACATCTGGAATTAATTAAGCTTGACACAAATGCAATAGACTTTTCCTTTAGAATTTACAATTTGAATTCTTACACTGAAATGAATAATTGCTAAATACTTAGGTAGTGTTTGGTTCATTGGAATGTAATGATTATTCCATCAAAATATCCATTCCCATATTTGGTTGACTAAAAATATGACAAAAAACACATTAAAAGTAGAATCATCATTCACTATCATAAGGAAATAATCATTCTGAAGTGGAGTCCAAGAATGATCATTTCATTCCATTTCAACTCATTCTAATCAACCAAATGGATCCAATGGTAAGAAGAAATACAGAAAAATACTTGCCTACTGGTTGCTCATGTGTATGTCTTACCCTTTCACTTCCACTACATCGCCAGGTTTTAAGCTTGCAAAATGCTGACTCATTTTCCCATCTGGGTACACCTACAACAATTTGTAAAGGTAAAAGGCAATAAAATTTCAAAATAGTTGCATATCTATAGAGCAAAGAGCAGAAGGAGAAGCAACAGTGGAGGGGAATTTGAGAAAAGAAGGGAAGGAAAGAAAAGGAGAAGGAGAAGCAACAGTGGGGGGAATTTGAGAAAAAAAGGGAAGGAGAGAAGAAAAGAGAGTCAGGAAAATCACAAAATAAAATTAAGGGGAGGAAACAAAGAGAGATAACTCCACATCTAACAAAAGAGAATTCTCACTTAGAAAACCCTAAATTCTCAAGTCAAAGAAAAAAGAGGGGAAAATAAAATGTGTGTATAAATGTTTATGCTAGGCAATCTAACCAACAGTCATATTCTAACAAACTAAATGATGAATATGTCCAACTCCATAATTTCTAACAAACTTGAATACATTTCTTTCTAAGTTAATAGTTCTAGACTCATAGAAATCCCAAAACAATTTGGCCTTCTCTTTTGACTGGAATTTATCAGAGTTATAGGACAAGCGGGAGGCAGTAGCTTTTTTCTTTTGGAGGATTCGGCCATAACTTAAGACTGTGTGTCAGAAACAACGCTCCAACAGAGATGACAAACCAACCTGACATATTTAGACATCCCAACAAGAGGGTAGAAAACACCCACCAAAGTCACAATCATAACCCCCAAACAAGTTCTAACAATCAACAATCCCACCAATCCCAATATCATCCGTCAAATAGCAACCACAATTAGTAACAACATTATACTCAACAGAAAAAATAAATAAATACAAGTAATAAACTATGTAGACAATGTTAGCAACCAACACAACTAATTTAAAAAAACAAAGTAAAAGTAAAAATAAATGCTAAATCTAGTAGGAATAAATAAAACAAAGTAAGCACTCAAGAGGAGAACAACTTCACGAACTCAGATGAAAAAAATAAACCGAACATGGCTATATAGGGTTCAATCGCACAAAACAAAAAACTAAAGCGTAAAACCCTAAGTGAAATAAAGAAAAGGAATGAGAGAGACTTACCAATGAAGGATGACAATCGCCTGTTTAGGTAGAGAATCACTCGAAATCCAGAAGAGCAAGTGGTCGAAACAAGGCAATGGAAGCAGTGAGCCCAGTTGAAACAAGGCAATGGAGGCAGTGAGCCCAAGGAGAGAGAGAGAGAGAGAGAGAGAACACAACCAATTTTGTGATTGTATATCTCCTGAATCGCATGTTCCAAGATCTTCCAAGTCTTCTCTGCGTATTTCGGATCCACCACGACCCGATGTTTAAAAGCTTCTATCTGAAAATTCCTCTTCTTCTGAGCACTCATCGTTTTTCCAATTCCCCAAACCAAACTGATTGAATTTCGAAGATCGAATCTGCGTTGATTAGGGTTTGAAAATTCACGATTGTCAATGACTTAGTTTATTGATGATATGGATAACGAAAGTAGTGAATTAGGGTTTGGAATGAAGAGAGTTGATGGAGGAATGTGGGAATTGATAGATGAAATGTGAAAGCAGCAAGAGATTGAACCGAATAAGAAGAAGAAAATGACGCAACTATTTTTGTCTTCTCATCTGAAAAAAAAAATTTGTTTGAAAGAGGGGCGCGGGCGCCAATATTCAGTTCCCTCTAAAACAAAAAAAAATTGTTTCTACCTTCAGCGACTAAAATTAAATTTGGTCGCCAAAGAATAATCAATACCGACTAAACTTTTTGAAGCCAAAAGTGTAATGTAGCGTAAAGACCATTAGCGACTAAATCTCAATTAGTCGCCGATTAGTTTTATAGAATCTCTCCAAATTTTGAAATTAATCCCTCCAAATATTTTAGTTTTGGCGACTAAACTTTCCTTTTGTCGCTGAAAGTACATTTTTGGCGACTAAAAGTTTGGTCGCCAAAGAGAAAAATTATTTTTTTATTTTCCATTCGGCTACTAAATATTTTAGTAGCGAAAAGTCAATATTTGGCTGCTAAAATTTTTTTTTGTCCCTGAAAGTACATTTTTGGCGACTAAACTTTAGTCGCCAAAGAGAAAAAATCATTTTTTATTTTTCATTCGGCTACTAAATGTTTTAGTAGCCAAAAGTAGATAATTGGCGACTAAACTGATTTTTAGTTGCCAAAACCTATACTTTTGGCTACTAAATTTTTTTAGTCGCCAAAAAGTTTTACTTTTGGCTACTAATGTTGTTTTAGTCGCCAAAACCTATACTTTCAGCGACTAAAATTTTTTTTAGTCGCCAATTTGGTCGCTGTAGGTGCATTTTCTTGTAGTGTTTTGCTATCTATAATGTTTTGCTTTCTAATTTGTATTTGTTGAGAATAATATAAATAAAGACAAATTACATCATTTTAGTTATTGTTATTTTAGTCACTCTAATTAATTAGTTGGCTCAATTTAGTTCTGTATTTTTTTATTTTAACTCAAATTGGTTCAATTAATTTTTATTTATTTTTATTATAAAAAGAAGAAACTGTATTGACAAAAGAAACAAAATACAAGCATAATTTAACTTACATTAATAAAGGAGGAAAGTACACTGAGTATCATAGCTAAACTTTACAATTCCAACTAAGTTGACACTAAAAAACATGCACAATCATATGTTAGCATTTAATCCAAAGATTGGTGAGGGACCAATCAAACAACAACCAAAGCAACAAAAATAATACAATAGCAACAACCCTGAAGGATGGTATGCTCACCTGGCTACATACACTGGCGGGCCTGTATCAGATTTGAGACTACATCATGCACTGAGTACGTTCAAATGTGTACAGGAGTGATATATATTATGCTTTTAGGAGCAATATTATAAACTTGCCAATTCAATGATTTAATCTCAACTAACTTAGTGAGCATCTTCTGTCAAAAACCCTAGCAATGTTATAAATTAGACCAAATTGACGTACAATACAAAATTAAGGATTAAAATTGAGATAATTGTAATTATAGGGACCAAAATGACATGAGAAGTAAAATGTAAGCACTAACAATCTAACTTGCCTTATAAATAATAATGTTGTCTGTCTCTTTAAGTGTTTAATTAACTTTTTTTTAATCAACGAAAAAGAACTTTATTGATGAAATTCAAAATGATTACATATGAACCGACATCAATAATGGGGGACGAAAGCACATAGGATCATAGTGAACCTTCTTAATCTCAACTAGGTTGGTACAAAAAAAGCCACACAATCATATGTTAGCTCAAGCCAAAGCTGGTGAGAAACCAACAAAAATAGAAAGAAGACAACAAAATGCTACAAACAGCAAGCAAAAAAAACTGCCGCAAGCAGCCACTATAAGCACTAGACACACTCAAACATTCCTAAGTTTCCCTCACCAAACTCGCAAAGCAATCCAACTCTAATTTTTATAAGTTCACAAAGCTCCCATATATCTGGTGCTGCATTCTTAAATATACATTCATTTTTGAGTTTCCACAAAGACCAAAGAGTTATTGTTGGGATGGCTCTCCAAAGCTTCTTTTTGAACAATCTCTTGAAGTACAAACCAACACCTCCCCCCCCACCACCACCACTACCACCACCACATTAACAGACCTTCCACAGGTTCCAGCGATAGCCCACTGTGCACTCCACCAACTCAAAATGGTAGACACACCCTCCAAACAAAGGGACAATGCGTGAAGTGATGATTCCTCCCCATTCTTGCACAAACCACAAAGTGTAGATGCATTGCTATTAAGGACTCCAATTCTCTACAAGAACATTGCAGTTTTGACTTTATTCTTCCAAGCAAGCCTCCACAGGTTCCGGGGATAGCCCACTGTGCACCCCACCAACTCAAAATGGTAGACACACCCTCCAAACAAAGGGACAATAAGTAGCACGTGAAGTGATGATTCCTCCCCATTCTTGCACAAACCACAAAGTGTAGATGCATTGCCATTAAAGACTCCAATTCTCTACAAGAACATTGTAGTTTTGACTTTATTCTTCCAAGCAAGCCACCCAAAAAATTGAACTTTAAAGGGGAACACTACTAAAAAAAAACAGTTTTTGCGACCGCCACAAGCCGTCACAAATAATAAAAGTACAGTCGCAAAAGACTTTTTGTGACGGCCTATGCAACCGCAGATGGGGGACGCCAATGTGGGGGTGGCAAATGCTTTTTGCGACGGCAAAACAACGGTCACAAATTATTTGCGACCACCTAAACTACTTTTTGCGACAGCTATTTTGCCGTCGCAAAAAAAAAAATTTAAAAAATTAAAAACACTTTTAGCGACCATTGTTTTACTGTCGCAAATAATTATTTCTTAAAAAAAAAAAATCATATACGGGTTTGCTACAACAAAAAAATCAATTACAAGCACCAAACAATTTTTTGTTAATGAAAAATAACAAAATAAACAAATTAATTAAATTTATAATAGTCATTATCCATTAACCATCCTTAAATACACTGTACTAAAAAATTCAAGTCTTCAAAAAAAGAAAAGAAAAAGAGCAAAATATTCTTTGGCTCCCAACATCACCCGCTCGATCATATCAACTATTCATTCAACAAAATTTGCGTATACTGGATGGCAGACAGAGACTGTGTATGAGGTATACAAAACATAGTTACATAGTAATAGCAATAGAGAAGGGCCTAAATCGATTGTCTTGAAAGTTGAAAATTAGCAAAGCACATCAAGCATGAAGTCAAAATTTGTACCTCTTTCTCTACACTAGGGAACCTAGAGTAAAAAATTATATACTCAGATCACTAAATATTTATAAAAGAATCAGGCCATACCTTGTCAAACCGAAGGTGTAGGACAACAAACTTCCTTTGTCCTTGACAATTGCAGCTATCCCATAACTGGATCATTGACAATGTATGAAGATCACATTTGAAGTATAGAAATGAAGTAAAAAGTTCAAATAACTTTAAAACATCAACTAATACACTCAATACTGAAATTATATCAAGGAACAAACTGAACATAAGCAGTAAAGAGTACAAAAATTTCAAAGATATTGTGTAACCCATTAGAAGTTCACAGACAAACATCTCTGCTGAAAAAGATTAGAGGAATCACTATTATGCTTTTTTATGCCTTTATTTTGAAGCACCTCATCTTGAGTACTACAGGTTCTTCTAGAACAACAACATAACCCAACAAGTTAAGCCTTAATCCTATGCGTTTGCATCTCTTTTTAATCTTTATGTCATTTCTTCTTGTTATAATTTACATATAGTCATAGACTCACAGTTATATTCATGATTCTGGAAAAAAAAAAAAAAAATGAAGACATTATTGTTAATGGAGATGTGCAAAATGGTGAAGAATATATTCTATTCATTCACCTTCCAAAGATGAGGGAAAGAAGACAATCAAACCTAAACAGAAAGCCCTTTGTTACACATTTTCTTGGTACAGGTTACGCATTTTTGTGGCAGATTTTATGTAATTTTTTAGTAGAGTTAACGACAATTAAAGGTTCAATATGCATTTTTGTGGTAGTGCTACACTTTTTGTGGTTCAAAAAAAATAAGATGAAAAAAGGTGTAACATTACCACAAATTGTACAACTTTATTTCTAAACCACAAATTGTCGTAACTTATTAAAAGATTACCTAACATTTGCCACAAAAATGTGTAACATATACCACAAAAATGAGTAACAAGGTAAATATTATACACCTTTTAGGGGTGTGTACCGAACGAATTTCCAACCTAAATTCAGTGAAACTTCTAAGTTGTGAAAATTCTTTGAGATGCTTTCTATGGGTAGCTAAAAAGCAAAAATGTAGGTGCAAGAAGTGTGGGATTTAATATATTGCTTCAAGTAATTATGGGACAGGTAATATGTTGCGTCATTTAAAAGTCGTGACAAGCTCTTCAACTTTCTAGAAGGATTAAAGTCGTGGCAAGAATTGAGCTTCAAAGGTAACATGCGCAAGACCTAGCCTATGCACAAGTGGCAACAGAGTGCCTAACAAACTATTCTAAACCTAAGCAAAGGGATGGGTCCCTGCGCAAGAATAGGGGATACGACAATTCCAAAGGCTGTAGCGAACCTAATAATGGGGGAACCAACACATCCACCTCCAAAAGTCAC